TATAATTTTTCAATGTTTTTGCATACTTTTTAATTTTTTTAAATAAGATAAATATTTTTTTTTATCTTTTATTATGTGTTTGTTTTGATCTCTAAATTAAGTATCTATGTAACGACCGTCTGACCGTCACACAACTCAACACCACAACACCACACAAACAAGGACATGTATATATATAAGCAGCTAAAATATATACACAAGATCTAGCCTGAGGCTTAAAAATCAAAGTATACAAAATACATCCAGCAATGCTACACTAAGCAGTCAAAACAACAAAAACATCAAAAATACATTCACTGCATCTATCGGCTACAAACCCGCTCAAGACACCAACCTAACCCTGCTCTGCTCTCATACATAATATGATCATTGTAGTTCAAACCACATGGAAACAACAAAAGGTAAGCTAGTGAAAAGAATCAGCATATATATAGATATATATAGTACAACAATTAGAAAAACTACAGCTTAACAACACATCATCTAGTTTAGCAATTATCAGCATACAACTCATCACATATACAGCTCACATCATTCAGCCAAAAATAACAGTAAACACACAATGCGTTGTCACGCATATCAGCTTGAAGATCTCCTACAACATCTCAGCCTTACGGCCTACAATAGCTCAGCCTTACGACCTACAACAATTTATATCAACATGCAACACACCACAGCACAACAAAATATAACAGCACACAACACAACTCAACCTTATACAACACAACTTAACATCTCACAGCACAACAATATTATTCAGCATCTTAAATAATATTCATCAATAACAGCTCAGCTCAGCAAACATCAACATCTATCAGCATTTTTCAACACATATCAGCATATACACAAAGATTACATCCGTGCTCGGTGCACTCATGGTTGCGCCCAGCGTGGCCTAACCAGAGAGTATCAGGGATCAAACACGCCCGACGCAATTCCAATTGCGCCCGACCTGCTAGGAGGCAGAGACTCCAAACAACCTCACACACCCGGCGTACCAAACTTGCGCTCGGCGCAAGGTAGGCACAGACCTCCCCAAGGTCTCACGCCCGGCGCAATACCAATTTTGCCCGATGCCACCTCTGGCAGAGACTCCCAAGGAGTCTCCACGCCCGGTGAGACGTAGTCACTCCCAAAGCCACACCATAATCCTAAAATGCCAAGATACTTCTTGATATCCCCTAGTCAGACTAGAACTTTGTATATTTATATATTCTAGATCCTATATTTATATACTTGTTCTATCTGTCTGGAGTTTCTAGTGTGCGATGCCGTGTGTAGTGACTAGCCGGGTCGTTACACTTATTAGTCACTTTAACCAAATTTCGTTCACTTAGAGTGAGAGCTCACTCGCTTAAGTGAGCTAACTTCACCTCCTAGGTATAGTCTTTGTCTGAGCTCGCTCAAAGCAGGTTGTGAGTGCTTGGAACAATTTTCATTTGCTCAAAGCGCGTTCTTCAGGGATTAAAGCGACAGTCTCTTTGAGACTTTTAGCTTCTAAGCTATATTTTTCTCTAATGTGTTGTGATATCAATGAGGCATGTTTTGTTGAGTTATGTGGTGATATGCATGAAACATGTTGTGTTAAGTTGTGTTATGATATGCATGAGGCATGTTATGTTGAGTTGTGTTGTGATATGCATAAGGCATGTTGTGTTGAGTTGTATTGTGATATGCATGATACATGTTGTGTTGAGTTGTATTGGGAACTTAGAACTAGAGGAGAGGTTTGTTTTAAGAGATGAATATCTCATTGTATAGATATGTCTTGTGGTACTCTAAGTGCCCAATTGAATTTTTTTTTTTTTTTGTGTTTGTTGCCTCTTGAAGCGGAGTATTGAGTCTCATCTAGGTCCTTAGATCATATCGTATGGGGGTTAGGTCAAACCATATTGATTTAAAAGTGACTAATTTGAGTAAGGTATGAAGTAGCATGGCAACGAGATTGGGTAGGTACATGTTTCAATATCTTTGTCCCCATCTCCATTCTCGTACCCTATACCCAATTCGTTCCTATACCCGATAGGTTGAAATTTGTGTCTCATTCATGTCCCTATCGAATATCGGGTATACCTGTACTCGTCCAAAAATTAATTAAATATTTTTTTACAAAAAAAAATATAAAAAATAAAATTTTCAACATAGAGTAGCAATTACAAAATTACATTAATTAAGTTTCATTTGAAATAAATTTAAAATAGAGTAAGAATTAAATAAATGTCAGGTAAATTCTATAATAAATAAATTAAGTTTCTAGAAATTTAAAGCGGATACGGGTACAAGTATGAGATGGCTATGTATATACCTATCTCCTTTCTTGTACCTGATTTAATAAATAAGATATTATCCATACCTGTATCCGTGTATGGTCAAATCGGGTGTTTTTTTGTCAAAGATGGGACGGGTTCGAGTATTACCCAAAGGTACAAGTTTACTTGTCATTCCTAGTACGAAGTCGAAAGGTTAAATCCTTAAATGATTATTGGAAATGTGTGCAATATTTGGAAGATAGTCAGTGGATTAAGTCCATATAAGCTTAATTGATGCATATTAATGTCGTGATAGATCCATACTCAAGTTGTTCTATTCCTAATAGTGGTACTAGACATTCCTAGTCTAAGTGGTGAAATCCAAGAAATCAATGGAGTGTTGAATAAGCATTGGTATGCAAGCCATTTTGTTGATTTGACATTGGTATGCCAGACGTTGCTGACTTGATCTCCTTTTTAGGGATTAGACATTATGATTTGGTAGGATCAAACACTTAATGATCACCTGTGTTATCAAAGATCTCTTAGTTGAAATATGTGACGATACATAAAGTTATAGTGTCTTGAAGATGTTGTGTTATTATGTTGGGTTGATATGTTAATGAATTGTATATGATATTATCAAGTTGTTGAGTTGAGAAATTGTTGAATCATATAAATGTTGTGAAGTTTATCTAATGAACGAATTATCTATGTTTGTTTGAGTTGATCTTTGGTTGTTGTTGTAGAGTTGAAGTTGATATTGATGATATTTCATATAGATAGCTTATTTACTTTAATATTGAGTTGATTTCTTGATCTTAATTAAGCTTACTCTTACTTTTTTTATGTTGTTGGATGATCATATTATTATGGGAACAAGATAGGATTAGGTTGGAGGGCGGGCATATTGTTGTGCCATGTTCGAGATGACAATTTTTGGTGGAGGTTGTTTTGATACAATTAGTAGTTGCTTGACCAACAACTTAGGATTTTGTTTTACAGTTTGAAAATTTGGAAATATATATGTACAAGATTATGTTGTAATCCCATTGAGGGATCTTTATGTTTTAAGCTATTTATTGTTATACATATATACTACTGCAAGTATATGAATTGTTGCATGATAATCTTAGGTTATATTATATTTGTTTTTCGTTGTGTTGCAGTTGTTTTGTAACAAGTGTAATAGCTTGTTAGATCGTTATACACACATACTTCATTGGTTAAAGACTTTTTGAATGATGACCAAAAGGAAAATCAACAAGAATACAATACAAAGACAAATTCTACTGAATGAAAAATTAGATCCTTTATTTGAAGGGAGAATTGTTGGAAGAGTTAATCACTTATAGTGTAAAGTTTTTTTACACTGACAACCAATCATATCTTTTAATAGTGTCATATCAGTTGCTTATTTAATGAAATAAAAATAAAATAAAATAATTTAAAAGATATGATTGGTTGTCAGTGTAAAAAACTTTACACTGACAGTGTATGAATGATTAACTCTTGTTGAAATACAAATAAGGTCTTTCATTATTAAAATAAGAAGAGAAATAAGAGTTTATAAAATACACACATACTTTATTGGTTAAAGACCTTTTGGGTGATGACACAAAATAAAATAGGATTTTGATTCAAAGTGTACAATATATATATTATTATTGTAAACATGTGTATATAAAATACTCCCAATAAACAACAAGATATAATACTCCTCTAAACAAATATATCTTTACAAAATACAAATATAAAATAACCTAACATGTTTTTAATACTTTGACGATGGAATAATCAACTTATTTGTTTGATCTTATCTTTTGTTGTTAATTATACAAGTTAGACACAACTCATTATTGATTTTTATAACAATATTTGAATCACATTTTTTTTATCATCCCGGAAAAAAAGTTAGAATATAGCGAATGAAAAATAAACAAATTTACTATTATACTTAAAATATTATGAGATATTATATATAAACCACAGCGTTAAATTAATGATCATTAGTAAGAGATACAAATATAATATTTAATCGTACGTATCACAATTCACCTTTCAATTTGTCTTCTATTATTCTAAATATTCAAAAAGAAATCATTAAAACAGTTCTAACTCTTTTTACAATGTTCTTTTATGAATCGTCTTTTATTTATTCTTAACATGTTGCTGATGTAGAAGTCAATATCCAATCATCACCATATTACACGTTTTGGTGACCTTGAACATGCTTAAATAAGTTTCTTGTGTGTTTAGATTGATAGTGAAACTATGGTGGAGGATAATAAGTTACGTCAAATATGGCTTGACTTAAATTTATAACGTTTGATTACTAATTTAGAAACAATTTTAATTGAAAAATGATGGTTAAATTGAAGCAATAGGAAGTTGCTTCTACTTTATTCAAAATCAATTTTGATTATATTTTATCTAATTTATCCTTACACTTATGCTCTTTTTTTGTATTAGTCTATCAATTGTTAACAGGCAGTCGTGTTTGATGCTTATGCTAATTTAATACTTATATTATCTATTTCATCTAATTTACTATATGTCTATTTTTTAATCTGTTACACACGTAAGTGCACACATTTACTTAGTAATTACACATAAAATCACGTTGATATAAAAATTTATTATTAACGTTTACATACTTACTCGACATACTACTGGACAAAGAACTACAGCAGCTGTCAAGATCATCCGTTTATAATATAAGATTAATACTAATAACTTCAAGAAGTAATCTCCGCTATAAGCTAAAATTTTACTGCAACTAGAAACTACAAGTTTACAAATTGAAACAAATTTTCAGATCAACTTTGACCAACACCTATATTCAGAAAGAACATAACCTATTAACATGCAGATTACCTTTACCTTTTACTGCACTGGAAACATTCTGTTCCTTAACTACTAAAGATAGAAAGCAACATTATGATATCTCTATAAGAAAGATAGATAAAAGCAAATGAAATGAAGAACCCTACTACCCTATATAGTCTATAACAGAAACTAAATTAAGCTCTATTGCCCTTTGCCAGTCCGTCTCCTAAGCCTCCAAGATTGGAAAGTGGCTGAAGCTTCATCCATGGCAGCCAAGTTGTTAGCCACTTTTTATAAACATCTCATGCATCCGATCAATTGGTTCAGTGTGGTCCTGCACAGCAAGCCCTTCTGAGACACCAGCAAGTGATTTCAGATTGCATTTGATCAAGGCTTCAACGAAGTAGCATGTCTCGTCCTTGGTGTTCCCTTCAGGTACATCCACCACAAATGATTCAATTACCAGGGTACCTGGCCTCCCATCAACAATTTCTGGGTGGAGGGACATGATGGACGAGTAATTCTGAAACACAACAGACACAAGTTACATCAAAAGCTGTTTTCCTTTTTTAGTTTAATTTCCATTTATGAACTGTCAACTAAATAGAAATCATTTAAGATAACTTCTAAAGTAATCATTATAAAATTAATAAACTCACCATATAAGACAATTATGACAATTTATATTTAGATAATAGATTTTTTCTGTGGGTGGGAGGTGGTTTATGAAAACCATTCATGTGGCTTAAGTTTTTGGGATAGTTGATTCACCAAAACCAATTCCAGTCAGCAAATTTTAATAACCGTTAATTAGAAAACAATAAAATTCAAGAAATCTCAGCTTGTGATTGATCCAACAAGTGACCATTGATAGAGTTCCTAGGTAATGAAAACTTTAGCCGTGTCTGAACTAATCAAAACGTGGTAGACAATGTAAGCCAGACCCACAATCCAGAGAACCTCTCGAGAGCTCCATTACCTTTCAACAGCACAGAATTGCCACTTTTCTGAACACGAGTTATTTTCCAAAATGTTGCACAGGACTTAAAATATAATTTAAATTGAATGCATGCACTAATTTCCTTAAAAGCTCGAGCAACAGTAATGAACAAGTGCAGAAAACATCCAAATTTTTCCAGCAGAAGAAAACAGTAATAAGAAGAGATCGTCCACACGAGAAATACGAAGTAAAACAGCAAACTCAGCACGAAATTGAGAAACAGAGAAAAGTCCTCTGGACAGCATGAAATGAGGTAACGATACTTTGAGTCTATGATCACCGCCAATAATCCTGACGCTAAGGATGTGATGATTGTCATCAAGAATCTCCAACCGTTCAGTGCTGGTGGTCGCTGGAAGGCCAGACTTGACATCAACCTCTCTGAGACTGCCAATCTCAAGGTTTCCCTTCACAACGCAGCGCCTCACAAACGGCTTATACTTCTGAGGCTCATCGAATTTCCTGACCAAAGACCACACCTGCAAATGCGAAAGCAATCTCAATGAGTAATGTTAATGAATGAAAAAGAAGGGTTTGTTTGGTTCAAGTTTTATTACGAGAGGAAGCGGGGCTTTTATATGCTTAACGAGAGCAGAGGAGCACTGATTCTCCGCCGGCACACGGTGGTGGTGTCTCCTCATGCACTCCATCTCTCTGCTGCTCAACTCTTCCTCATTCTTCATTCTGATTGCCAATGCCAATGCCAAACGCCACCGTTTCAGCCTCTGAAACCCAAGCGCACCGCCATCCAACTACCCCTTTCTGCTCTCTATTATCCCAAACTAACTTCCATTAAATAACCCTCTTTTTATTCATTTTTATAATCGGGTAATAATGAGACCCCAAAAAGTATTTTATAAAGTACTAACTCAAACTGCTTTTCTATTTTTTCTTTCAAAACTCCGCCTCCCTCCCTCCACTATTACCAAATCGCCACTGCTTTCTCCATTTCTACACTTGTCCTTTCCTAACGGATGTACAAATTCCTCTATTATTTTTATTTCTTCAATTTCTACACACATTTATATTTTCCTATTCTTGTAATAATTTCTCTTAATTCTTTTTTTAAAAAGGTTATATTAAATATATTTATATATTAATTCTTTAACTATTTCAAGAATATTATAGTATGACTTTATGGGAAAAGTTATTGTAACAATTAAAAAAAGTTGAGTGTATGACAAGATAAGCTTGAAAAGGCTCAAATATATCCTAAAGTAAAATTGATTAAAGAATTATATTGGATGAATCTGAATATTTATATTATTATTATTATTTTAAATAATAGGATGGTGACACATGGATAATTATTATTTATTGATTAGCATCAATTTAACTCCATACAAATGTATTTCTCTTTTAGAAATTATTTTTGATGAAATGAAGAATTTAAATATTTATTTTATAGTTTTGTTTTCTTTTTTATTTGATTCAAAGAGACGTTTGATACAAGAATTCTTTTTAACTTTCCTTACGAGTTTTGAGTTGAGAAAGATGATTTCTTATGTTTGATTTATTAATTAAATAATAATATTTTTACAAAATATTGTTTCCTATGAATGGCTTTCTACAAAATTGTTCTCATGGAAGAAGTGAAAATTTTACATTCTAAAGTTAAATGGTTAACTTTATTCCAAAAACATCTATGTTACCTTTATTTATCTATTTAATAGAGTGAAAATCATTAATTCTCAAGTAACATATATAAATAATCCCATAAACATTTAAGATAAATCAAACACATTTTAATCATTCCTACTTCCTAAGAATCATGATTCCAAGATTTATAATTCTTATGAATCATGATTCTCAAGCATGAAAATTTTTTCCCTCTACCAAGCACTCCTTAAATTGAAGAGTTGTAGTAATATTAAATGCCTAATATTGGCGCTTTCATTAGTATTGCACGTTTAGCAAGTATACCAATCGTTACTGTAGTAATAATATTATCGTCCTCAAGGATTAAATTTGTTGAATACTAGATTACTAATTTACGTTAATTTTGAGCAATTGAAAAATAGATGGAACAACGAACATAGAAAATTAACAAAAATTCACTCAATATTAAAATTGTTAGAGAATTGATTTCATATTCTTTCCTATAGATTCTTATCCTTTTCAATTGATGCAAGAATTGTAATTACCCACTTGAGTTTATTAAGAGTTATTTACCCCTAATCCCTTAGGCAAGTAAATTTATTCATTGAACCCTAATCCCCAATTCCTTAGGACAATTATGAAATTCAATAGAATCATGAAGAACAATTATCATCTCAAACACAAACTAATTAGATATGCTCAATTTCCCAATTGTGACAAAACCTAATCTGTTCTATCTATAATCATAAACAATCCCTAATCTCTCAATTGTAAAATTGTTCATAGAATAAACATTAGAGACATGGATAGAACACTGAGATAATTAAAATTAACCAAACATCAATTGAAAAGGTTCAGAAACTATGATCCAGAATATTACATCAATACTCTAACAAAAATAAAATTAGTTCTGCATAATGAAAAAGGAAAAACCAAAAGAAACTGATGAGCCGTTCATCTTCCGATGGTGAGTTGATCTCCTCTTGATGAGTCGCTCCTCTCTCTGACTATCAGTTCTCCTCCTCCTCCTTTTCTTTTCTTCTAATTATTCCTCTTTTATTTTCAGACTTTATTTTATTTTATTTTTTAATTCCTAAGAGTTGTCTTTTCCTCTTCTTTTCATTTGGCCCAAGCCCACAACTTGTTTGTGGAATTTTCTGACTTCAACTCTTCCATCTTGATATTTGCTCTCTTTAAACAATGATTTAAGCACCTAAAACACTTATTTACAAAGAAAAACAAGAAAACCAAAAGTGTAATATAAAACAAAAATAATGCATGATAAAATCATTCAAACAATGCAATAATATATGCAAATGGCCTAAACTAAAGTATGAATGCAAAAATAATTTATACACACATCAAAATCTCCCAAGCTTAGACTTGTGCTTGTCCTCAAGCAAAGAAAACTAAATGAAAACAAGATAATTAGTACATTTAAATGGAAACATATCATCTCAACTCAAGACCAAATTCAAACAATGATATCCAAGAGCACACTTTTCACAATTTTTAGAACAATGACTAACTTGTTAGGTCCCTAGTGCAATTGGAGATTAATTGAAACAAGGCACTAGACACTAAGTCACACAATACTTGCAACCCTTTCTTTTTTTATTTTTTTTATTTTTTTTCTTAGGTTTCTAGCATAAAAGACACTTACCTGCCAACTATGCATGGATCTTCCACTCAATTGCTATGCACTTGTCATACTTGGTCTCAAAGGAGTGTCTTTCTTAGGAAATTTTTATTTTTAGAATTTTTAAAACTAAACATTAATATTTCCCCAGTAGTCAATCAGTCTCAAAGGGGTACTTACAATATTTCCCCAGTAACCTATGACCTCAAAGGGGTGTCTAGTTAACTCAAGAACCATTTTTCTTTCAACTTTCCCTTTTTTTTAAGGCAGACAATTCTCCAGTAACCAAGTGCAATGAGTGTCACCATAGAAACCTAAAACTTTTTATATTTTATTTAAGTAGATTAAAAGTCTTTCTTAAGTGCCATAGTGCCAAGATTTATTGTGTAGTGTGTGAAGTTTTCCAACAAGTAATCATGAATCAGATATCAACAATGTGCTTGGAAAATATCATTGAGTAAACTTAGAACTTATGGTTAAGAAAATAATTTCCATTCCCACATAAGATGCAATGTATATACTATACAAATGCAGAATGATGCAAGATGACATGCATAATAAAAGGAAAAAATGTGTAAAACTCCCCCAAACATAAATATTTACATTGTCCCCAATCGAAACAAAATAGACAAAAGCAAGAGGGAGAAAACTCACAAAATCAATACTATTGAGAGTGGAGCAAGGCAAGAGTTTCTTGAAGTAGCTGTTCCATGTGCTGCTAGTGGATTTGGAGGAATGGTGCAACTTGGATGAATGTGGAAGAAGTTTATTTTATTTTATTTTATTTTTTTTTATTTTCAAAAACATTTTGTTAAACCTGTTGACCACCTTCAGCCGGTGGTGCTAGATTAACAATGGTCCTATTTCTTTCAAAATCACCCCCCAGGTACAATTTCAATCTTTGACCATTAACTTTAAAACTTCTTTCTAAATTGAGATAAAAAATTTCAATTGTACCAAAGGGGAATACTTGTTTAACAACAAAAGGACCTGACCACCGGGATCTTAATTTACCTGGAAATAATTTGAGCCTAGAATTGTATAGCAACACTTGTTGTCCCGGTGCAAACTCTTTAACCACAATTCTCTTATCATGCCATTTTTTTGTTCTCTCTTTATAGATTTTAGCATTTTCATATGCCTACAATCTAAACTCCTCTAGCTCATCCAATTGTAACAACCTTCTCTCACCTGCATTCTTTAAATCAAAATTTAACAATTTAGTAGCCCAGAATGCTTTATGCTCTAATTCCACAGGTAAATGACATGATTTCCCATACACCAATTGATATGGTGACATTCCAATAGGAGTTTTAAAAGCTGTACGGTAAGCCCAAAGTACATCATCTAGTTTTCTAGACCAATCTTTTCTAGTAGAGCTCACCACTTTCTCTAGAATTCTCTTCAACTCCCTATTGGAAATTTTCACTTGTCCACTTGTCTATGGATGGTAAGGGGTAGCTATCTTGTGCTTTACACCATATTTTCCTAAGAGTGACTCAAACTGCTTGTTGCAATAGTGCGAACCTCCATCACTAATTATTGCTCTAGGCACACCAAATCTAGTAAAAATGTGTTTCTTGATGAAAGAAACCACAATTTTAGCATCATTTGTTGGCAATGCACTAGCCTCTACCCATTTAGACACATAGTCTACAACAACCAAAATGTATTGGTTTGAGAAGGAAGAAGGAAATGGCCCCATAAAATCTATACCCCAAACATAAAAAATTTCCACTTCAAGTATATTATTTAAGGGCATCTCATTCCTCCTTGAAATATTCCCCACTCTTTGACATTTATCACACCTCTCAATAAAACTACGAGCATCCTTAAAGAGGGTAGGCCAATAAAATCCACTCTGTAACACCTTAGAAGCTGTCCTTTCCCCACTAAAATGCCCTCCATAATCTGATCCATGACAGTCTCTAGCTCATCCAATTGTAACAACCTTCTCTCACCTGCATTCTTTAAATCAAAATTTAACAATTTAGTAGCCCAGAATGCTTTATGCTCTAATTCCACAGGTAAATGACATGATTTCCCATACACCAATTGATATGGTGACATTCCAATAGGAGTTTTAAAAGCTGTACGGTAAGCCCAAAGTACATCATCTAGTTTTCTAGACCAATCTTTTCTAGTAGAGCTCACCACTTTCTCTAGAATTCTCTTCAACTCCCTATTGGAAATTTTCACTTGTCCACTTGTCTATGGATGGTAAGGGGTAGCTATCTTGTGCTTTACACCATATTTTCCTAAGAGTGACTCAAACTGCTTGTTGCAAAAGTGCGAACCTCCATCACTAATTATTGCTCTAGGCACACCAAATCTAGTAAAAATGTGTTTCTTGATGAAAGAAACCACAATTTTAGCATCATTTGTTGGCAATGCACTAGCCTCTACCCATTTAGACACATAGTCTACAGCAACCAAAATGTATTGGTTTGAGAAGGAAGAAGGAAATGGCCCCATAAAATCTATACCCCAAACATAAAAAATTTCCACTTCAAGTATATTATTTAAGGGCATCTCATTCCTCCTTGAAATATTCCCCACTCTTTGACATTTATCACACCTCTCAA